TAATATATAATAATAAAAATAAATAATTATATTAATATAAAATAGAGAAAAAGCCAACAAATAAATATATTAAACATAATAACTTAAACACTATAATAAACACCAACTAAAGATACACGTAGCAGCAGCCGCCCAGGCACGTACTCCCCCAAACCCTAAACCCTAACCCCTACCCCCCAAACCCTAAACCCTAAACCCTAAACCCTACCCCCTAAACCCTAAACCCTAAACCATAAACCCTAAAAGCAACGTACCTTGAGCAGCCCAAAGAGAACATCAGTGCTGATGGTTCTCTCGTGGGCCTCATCCAACATAACAACAGAATACCGCTGCAGCCGGGGGTCTACAAGGGCCTCGCGCAGCAGCAAACCATCCGTCATATATTTTATTATTGTATCCGGAGAGGTGCAGTCCTCGAAACGAATAGAATACCCCACCTACACCACAAACCACAAACCCTAAACCCTAAACCCTAAACCCTAAACCCTAAACCCTAAACCCTAAACGCTGAACTCTCGGGAGGATAAAGTACACAACTCCACTTTGTTTATGAGTTGCATACACAGATAACGCAAACACTCCTTATATAAAACCTAAACCCTAAACCCTTAAACACTAAACCCTAAGCTCAAGCCCTGAAACACCGAAACTCTACACCCTAGACCCTAAACCCTCTATGTAGCCCCTCAACCCCTAAACCCTAAACCCTAAACCCTAAACCCTAAACCCTAGTCTGACCTCTTGCCCTAGACGGCAACCGAATTCTTCTGCTACTCTCTTGGCGACGCTCATCGCCGCAACTCTTCTCGGCTGTGTACAGCCGATGAGTCTGCCTGGGGTAACGAGCCCCGCCTCAGCCATATACTGCGTCATTTGGGTGGTTTTACCTGTACATACACCCCAAATATATCTATGAAAACTTAGGGTTTAGGGTCTAGGGTTTAGGGTTTAGGGTTTAGGGTTTAGGTGGTGGGTATGGGGCAGGGGAGAGAATGTTTGCTGTGGAGACAAAAGAAAAAACAAAAAAAAACTGAAGGAGACAAAAAGGAGACAGGAGGAGACAGCAAAAAAGATGTAAAGAAACAAAAACAGATATTAACAAAAAAAAGGAAAGGAGACAAAAAGGAACGCAACAACAAACAAAATAAATGCAGAAGGGGACAGAAAAAACACAAAAGGAGATATCAAGAAATAGACAAAGACCAATATAGACAAAAAAAACACACAAAAAGAGACAAAAAGAGACAAAAGGAGACAAAAGAAAAAAAAATAAAAACCTAATGGAGATGCAAACACCTCCCTGTACACCCTAAACCAAGACTAAACACAAAGAAAGAAGCAGCATCACGGTTGCATGCAGAGAAACACATGCAGCAGCAACAGCAACAACAGCAGCAACAGCAGGTAAGAACAAGCAGCAAACGCCAGCAGCAACAGCAGCAACAGCAGCAGCAAGACCAGCAACACCAAAAAAAAAAAAAAAAAAAAAAAAAAAAAAAANAAAAAAAAAAAAAAAAAAAAAAAAAAAAGAAACGAACCGCTGCCAGTCTCCCCTATAACAATAAGAACCTGGTTGCCTGTGATAGCTTTGAGCAGCTGCTCCTTCAGTTTATATATCGGCAGCGAGCGCCGCTGCTCGGCGATAGAGAGCGTGCTCTTTATGCCGAACGATACGTTCTTACCCAGATATAGCTTTTTCCACTCAGGCATCTCGTAACCTAAATAAATTAATAAATAAATAAATTTGTTTTTTTTATTTGTTTGTTTGTTTTTTTGTTTGTTTGTTTACAACTGGAGATAAAAGACTACGAAAGCACGTGCAGCAAAAGAGCAGCTATGAGCAGCAGCAGCAGCAGCAGCAGCAGCAGCAGCAGCAGCAGCAACAGCAACAGCAGCAAGAGGAGCTCTGGTGTGTATGTTGTTTACCTGTTTGCCCTATGCCCTGAAGGGCCTGAGCGATGGTTCTTTCTCCCGGCTGGGGGTTGGGGTCCTCCCAGGGCCTCGACATATCCTTGGGGATAGAATCCAGAATTGCTGCTTCCTGCGCCTGCCTGCAGCAGCAGCAGCAGCAGCAGCAGCAGCAGCAGCAGCAGCAGCAGAAGCAGCAGCAGCAGCAACAGCAGCAGNGCAGCAGCAGCAGCAGCAGCAGCAGCAGCAGCAGCAGCAGCAGAAGCAGCAGCAGCAGCAACAGCAGCAGAAGCAAAAGGAGAAGCAGCAGATGAAAAGAAGAACGAGGCTCAAACGATAGACACGCCCCACACTCTTACAGCCAGCCCCATACACACCAATGCATGCATGCACGTGCATGCATGCATGCATGCATGCATTCAACCCCCAAAACAAACAAAGCAGCAGCAGCAGCAGCTCCCTCTGCTGCTGCATGCAGCCTGCTGCTGCTGCTACCCACCGCACGTCTCTCCTCTCCTTCGCCAGAGACTGAGCTGTTGCTGCAGCACGAGCCAGAGACCCGTCGGGGTTGGCGACGATCTTCACAGGAGACAGCTGCATACCTGAACCATCCAACACAAACCCTAAACCCTAAACCCTAAACCCTAAACCCTAAACCCTAACAAGACCAAACAAAGAGACAGACACACCCATACAAAACACCCCAACAAACCCTAAACCCTAAACCCTTCACATCCGCCACACACACTGGATAACATGAAAGTAGAAATGAACCCTAAACCCTAAACCCTAAACCCTAAACCCTAAACCCTGAACATAGAGATGTTGTCTCCCCCCTGGGTGCTCGAGGATATCTTAACCCTTCGGGTTTAGTGTTTAGGGTTTATGAACCCGATTTGAATCCTTATAAGAAACTACGTGTTCTGATATGCATAGGGTTTAGGGTTTAGGGTTTAGGGTTTAGGGTTTAGGGTTTACCAGCTCTGGTGGTTTGTCCCCTAAGAAAGAGAGGTTCTTCATCAACAACTTCGATTTCTATATCTTCTTCTGCTTCTTGTGAAGGCAACAAACCCCCAGCCTCTTCATCGTAATAAGGGTTTTCTTTGCTGCCTACTAAACCACTGCGCTGCAGCTGCTGGGCCTCCCATTTGTCGTAGTCAGACATCAACCTATATACAAAACCCTAAACCCTAAACCCTAAACCCTAAACCCTAAACCCTAGATCCTGGGATTGAAGAAAGAATTAGACTCTATAAACCCTAAACCCTTGATATTAAACCCTAAACCCTAAACTTAGTATTAGGCCCTGAAAGGTTTTCTGTGTGATCTGGATGAGATAAGGGTTTAGGGTGGTTTAGGGTTTAGGGTTTAGGGTTTAGGGTTTGAAAGGGTTTACTTTCTTTTTCTCGCGTATGCTGTCTCCTCTTCTGTTGACTCTATGTTTATCTTAACCCCAGTTATGCGGCCCAGCCCCTTCTTCTCCAGGGCCTGTGCATGCTCCTCAGCCAGAGACTCAAACAGAGCAGCACGAGACCCCGCTGCAGCACAAACAGCAACAGCCAGCAGCAGCTACTGCATGCATGCATGCATGCATGGTGTGCATGCATGCATGCATGCGGCTTCAAAGAGAGAGAGCTACACCACAGATACGCAGCAGCAGATACAGGTGGCATGCATGCATGCATGCAGCATGCATGCATGTATGTGTGAGCTTTCGTATACTGCCAATCTGCATGCATACAAGTGCAAATATATAAAAACACAAGCATGCATGCATGCATGCATGGATGCATGCATGCATGGGATAGAGTACCCGCTGGTGCGCCGTGTACGTTTCTGGGTTTGAGGTCTCTGCCAGTGACCTGGTCGACCTCTCTCATCGTCAGAGACAGCCGACTGCCGGCGATTGCATGCACCTTCACCTTCACCACCTGCCCCTTCTTCACCGCATCCCTGCAGCAGCAACAGCAGCAGCAGCAGCAGCAGCAGCAGCAGCAGAAGCAGCAGCAGCAGCAGAAGCAGCAGAAGCAGCAGCAGAAGCAGCAGCAGAAGCAGCAGCAGCATCACAAGCAGCAGCAGCAGTATATAGTAAGCAATGCGTGACACAGGGGGGAGGACTGCGCTGCTTCTTCTGTCTCCTGCTGCTGCTGCTGCTGCTGCTGCTTCTGTCTCTGCGTGTTCAGGTGTATCTACAGCTGCTGTCTCCTTCTGTCTCTGTCTCCTTCTGTCTCTGTCTCCTTCTGTCTCTGTCTCCTTCTGTCTCTGTCTCCTCTCTTTGTCTCTGCTGTCTCTGTCTCTGTCTCTGTCACCTCTACATGCGCCTCTCTCTACCCCTCTATCTCTCTACATATATATCTCTCTCTCCATATACTATTAAGCCATATATATATATATATATATATATATATATATATATATATATATATATATATATATATATATATTATATATATATATATATGTGTGTGTGTGTATGTGTGGGGTGGGAGTTGTCGATCCCGGGACTAACGTGGTAACACAGGGTCCTCCATCAGGTCTACACATATCGGCGACATGCAGCAGCCCTTCTCTCCTCCCCCCCTGCAGCTCCAGCTGCACGAAGGCCCCATACTCCATCACCCTAGAGACAACGCCGTCATATATACCGTAGCGTTCGAGGGGGGCCCCCCTTTGCCCGCAGAAATTTAAACTATCATCTGCTCCTGCTGCTGCTGCTGCTGCTGCTGTTCCTGCTGCTGCTGCTGCACCGCCAACAGGGAGAGCGTTAGCGCCTGTTGCAGCGAAACTACCACCCCCTCTGCTGCTGCTGCTGCTGCTGCTGCTGTTGCTGCTGCTGTCTTTGTTCCCCCAGTATCCTCCATTCTTTGCTCTATTGAAAGCTTCTTGCTGCTCTTTTATTAATTCTTTTTCGTCTTTCTCTTGCTGCAGCAGCCGCTGCGCATGCATAGACAGCGGTGCATGCTCGTCTGGCCTCTCCAGCTGCAGCTCAGGCCTATCGAACCTATTCTGCATGCACAGCCCCGGAAACTTCAATTCTTTTTCAGTTGGGGGATGGTGAGATAAAGAAAAAGCAGAAGGGGGAAGAGGCTTCACTCCGCTGCTGCTGCTGCTGCTGCTGCTGCTGCTGCTGTTGGGAGAGGGAGAAGCCCCGGCGTCTGTGGCGTTTTTCACGGATGGCGGCGATGTGCTGTTGCTGCTGCCTCCTGCTCCACTGCTGCTGCTGCTGCTGTTTCCAGTTGCTGCTGCTGCTGCAGCAGCAGCAGCAGCAGGTGACTTATGTGCTGCTGCTGCATGCGTTTTGCGGGCAACAAACTTGGAGATTGAGGTGTATAGACTCACCGCCAGCGCCTGAGTGACGGCGGAGCCGTTCGCCTTCAGCTTTGCGCGAAACTCCTCCAGCGTCTTCGACTCCTCACCCAAATGTAATACAAACTCAGCCAAATCCTGAACAATATACATTTATATATGTATATATATATATATATATATATATATATATATATAT